TCTCTCCACCCGTTACACAGCAATATACCCTAGCTCACAAGCTCGCAGTGGTTCGTCTTGCCAAGCTGGCAATCCTGACACTCTGTTAATTAATCCACACATAATTGAGACTCCCACCCACCCACCCACCCACCCACATACATCAAAAGCAAAAAACAAGAGGTGAAAGACTGTTGGTGGCCAAAAGCTGCAACCGTGAGAGAGAGAGAGAGAGAGAGAGAGAGAGGGAGGGGCGTGTAATGTTGGTTTCACATGACGCACACGCACACGGGTCAGCCGCCTGGCTGGTTCCATGCAATTATGCGTTGATGAGGGTCACATCATGGTGTGTGTCCGCCGGCTGCCTGTGACCTGACGTCCGCATCCTCGGCTGCTGCTGCTGGTGCTGTGGAGTGGGGGTGTTGGCTGAGACGTGGCCGGTGCTCAACATGTCGTTGATGCCGCAATCCCCCATCTGGCGTTCGTTAACATCCCAACCACACACGTAGCGTGGCGTTCGTGTCAGGCCTGTGTGTATGTATTGTATTGTGTCTTTACTTTGATTTTGAAGTATCCTTTGTCGCCCCAAGTATCGTTCCAGCTGTTGAGCACCAGCCAGTACTCGACGCCATCCTCCACACCCCACCTACACCCACACACGCACGAACATTCATCCAGGAATCCGACCCTCCCTGTGCCAGTCAGTTCCCTCCCTGTGCTGCCTGCCTGCGTGCGACCTCCCCTCACCCACATACCCGAGTATTTTGATGGCGTGTCCGCCGAGCATCCTGCCTTTGACGTGCTGGTACACACCCGACTTGTAAGTCAGGAAGTCCGAATACACAGAGAACGCACCCGTGATGGGGCCGTTCTGCACACCACACGCCCACATAGACACACAGATAAGTTCGAACCACTTACTGTGAGTGTGTCTCTGTGACAGACACCTCACCTCCATGATCTCTCGTTTGGCCTCATCGACGTCGAACAGCGTGAAGGCCTCGTACGCCTTGTGCCGGTCCTGTGCGCACGCACACACACACACGAGAGACCATGAATAGCACGTGCGTCGCGTCCCTGGGGGGGGGCCATGCACCGCACCCACACAGACGGATAGTCCATCCACCTCACCCACCTGGTTGAACTGCTCGGTGTAGTTTGTTTCAGAGCATTTGGCCATGCACTTGGGGGTGCTCTGCTCGCCATTGCAGGCCGGGTATGGGCCTTTGACGTGGTGAGAACACTGAAGGGACGGAGGATACCAGCCAGCCAGCCAACCCACGCCAATTGGATTGGACCCTGTGTGTGTGGTGCGCTTTTGGTCTGTCTGTCTGTCTGTCTGTGCGAGTGACATCAGATCCCTCCCTCGTACCATTGGAAGTTGGTAGGGCCAGCAGGTGTCCCCCGTTCCGATGTCGCCATAGTCACCACCACTCACCACACCCTGCGGTGCAAACACGCCGGCAGGACACGAACGTGGGAAAGAGTGTGGCTCGTGTGTGTCATGGCGACTGACTGACCACTTCAGTGAACCACTGCCATGCGAGTGCGGGCTGGCCACCGTCACAGCCGAAAGAAAAACAATGAGACTCGTCGCAGCAGCTCGTCGTGTCCTGCGGGGACAGCAGCGTCTGGAACGAACCTGGAACCTCACACACAACACACACACACACACAGAGTGATCAGAGAGAGGGGGTAAAACCTAGATCCTTTCTGTCCTGTGTGCCCACTTCACTCACCGTTGGTCTTGATGCACATCCGGTCGTTGAAGGCCTCGGTGGACGCAAATGCCCAGCAGCTGCCACACTCGGCCTGGTCTCTTACGTGCCCAATGACATCCTTGCACTCCGGCCACCTCTCACGGGCGTCAAAGCTCTCAGGCAGCGCATCCCTATCGACCGGCACTGTGGGCTTCTTCTCCTGAAGGTGGATGTACTGGTCGCCCACAAAGGTGCCCATGAGCCGCCTGGCGTCCTTGACCGACATCTGACGGAACCGAGGGGGGTTCTCCGCCACCCAGGTGGTGTCGTGCTGGGTGTTGATCTGCCGCGCCATGGCCTCATACGAGGCCGGCCTCGCCTCGCTGAAGGCCGCCTCGCAGATGGCCTGCAGGCTCTCGTCCGTGAGGAAGTTGTGTTTGCCGGCGCCGATGGTGCTTGGAGGGAGGGCGTCGATGGCGTGTCGTTTGAAGTGCGCAAAGTAGAGGCCGATCTCATCGGGTGTGAAGGTGCTTGAGAGTTGTGGGGTGAAGAGGCGCCTGAAGCACTCATCGAGCTTGACATCCATCTCCTCTCGGTTGTGCAGGGGCACATCAGCGGCAGCACCAGCCACAAGGAGGACGACCACAGCCACACGGGACACCATCTTTTCCCAAACCAACGTCGGGCCTACAGGGCTTTGCTCGGCGAGAATTTGCGACGTGAGACAACCCGAATAATTTACGTACTCCTTGACGCCCTTGCGCTGGCCCTTTTCGCACATACGACGTCGCCCACACCATCCTCAACTACATCATGGGCAGCAACGTCGGAAGCTGGCACAGCTGAAGCTGCTCTTCGATCTAGCGCGGCACAACCCCCTCATAGCCCATCGTCAAGCTGGCAATGGTGAGCCGCCCATCCATTGCAGCACCGACATTTCCCCATCCATTTTTGCCTTTCCGGTCAGGCCAAGTGCACAGCAATACGCGGCGACCGTGCAGCAGAGAGCGAAAGAAGACCACCTGCAGGGGCCATCCGGGACAACGAGGCCGAGCGCAGAGAACGAGAGATCCTCAACAAGTACACACACGGCTTATGAGTGCACTGTACATGAGGAACGGCACGCATCTGCTGGTCTTCTTTGTATGTAGGCGGGTCGATGAGCTGGAGACCATGATAGCCACGTACAAAAGAGATCAGCACAAAGTAAACACGCTATTTGTCTGGGTGAAGGCTGGAAGGCGAGAAAGAAGTGGCGAAGAGGGCAGCAGCCGGCATCGACACCACGCCCACTCAGGACAAGAAGATGATGACGCCCGCCGAGATGCAGCGATACCTGGACGACTATATTGTCGGTCAACAAGCTGCAAAGCGGGCCGTCATCCTTGCAATCAGTAATTATCACTGATCTGCTTCGTGCTGCTTGTTGCATTTCAAAAGTGTGTGTGTGTATATGTTCAGGAAACAGGTAGCGCTGGGACCGACAGCAAGACCCCGAAGGCCTCGCAGAGGAGCCCCTGATGAACATTCTCCTCAAAGGTCCAACTGGCAGCGGCAAGACAGAGGTGAGGACACTCACCAGTCACATTTTCCATTTGTTGTCGTCTCGTTTTCATTGTCTGCAGCTCGCTCGACGCCTTGTATCAATGGTGGATGCGCCGTTCATCATCACCCCGATAACCCAGTACACCTCCGTGGGCTATCGGGGTCGAGATGTGGCCGACATGGTGAACAAGCTGATGCAGAAGACCGTCAACAAAATGAACGCAAATGGCGCACAGGCTCAGGTAAGACAGGAGAACAGCAACACCACTCTTACTCATTGTCATCCGTTGTTGGGCCTTGTATTGTCGACTGCAGCTGCCGGAGCCGGGAGATGCACTTGTCAGCCATGGACACACGCAAATATGCTATGAAAATTGCATGTCTTCTTTCACCATTCGTTTTGCAGCAACTCGCCACCGGCATTGCAGCAGCTCGACATCGGTTTCTCCCACCCTCATCAAGGCGGCCATCAAAGAAGTCGAGACCAGAGGCATCATCTTCATAGGTATGCATAATTATGCATATGAGAATTATCTTATGCGACTAGATGAGATCGACAAGATTTGTAAGCCTCAGGTGCGAGAGACATGCAAGAGACATGCGAGAGACATGCGAGAGACTCGTTTGCACACTATGTCTTTCAGAACGAAAGGACGGCCGGGGTGGACGTGTCAAGAGAAGGTGTACAACGAGATCTCTTGACGGTGATAGAGGGATCAAACGTCGACACCAAATACGGTGAGCAGGTCTCATCATGCGCTCAATGTGCTCTCTCTTTGTGTGCATGTGTCGTGTGTGAATTCTGTATGCCTAGGGCAAGTGAAGACGAACAGGATGCTGTTCATCGCGGCCGGCGCCTTCCACAACGCGCGCCTCGAGGACATGTACAAGGAGCTGCGAGCGCGATTCCAGAAAATAGTGGAGATCCGTCTCGTCGTCTGTGACACGGAAGGCAAGACATACCTCGTCAAGTGGGCGGTGAGTGAGAAAATGGGATATGCAGACAGAAAGGCGGCAGCAGGCAGGCGAAGAGAACGGCGGTTGACCTCGTTGTCGTGTATGTATGTGTAGGGCCATCCTCCTGAGGGCTGTCCCGGCACGACTTGGATGCACGAAGAGAATGTTGACCTCACATTGCCTGCGCACCTGTAAGTGAAGGGCCGGCTGTGTGTATCCATACATACACATACACATACACACACACACATGTCTGCGTTGGTGTGTTTTGCGCATTCATGTAGGTCGCGGTCTCCCCGCTTATTCGCAGACATGAGGAACGAACGTCGTGCAATCGCACGGATGACCAAGGACGACGAAAACGAAAACGGTGCACACACACACGCACGCACTCACTCACGCCAATCTGAGTCATCACGTGTGTGTGGTGTGGTGTGGTGTGTGTGTGTAGGAAGAGGACGACTCCGGCCACCGCCGTAAGACGGTCGAGACGCAGTGCCTCTTCGCGCGCCTGGGGGCCATTCTCATCTTGCACCTGAAGCGCTACGGCTTCAACAAGCACACGGGCGCATCCAAGAAGGTACGATGGCTAAAGACACACACAGAGAGGGAACGAGACGTTGTTCATTGTGTTGTGGTGGTTGTGCTGTGCTGTGCTGTGCAGTTGAGGCACATGGTGACCTACCCGGAGAAAGTCGTCATCTCCGACAAGTGGCTCACCAAGTGAGTGGGATCACGGAGGACACACACACACACACTGGTCTCCATCCATCCGTCGCATCGACTTTTGCATTTATGTCGCCCGTGTCGTGTGTGTGTGTGTGTGTGTTTGTCTTGTCAAGTCGTTCCTCTCCAAGTACGTGTTGTGTGATGAAGGCAAGGCCAAGCACGGCAGCAGATCCAGCCAGTCAGAGCCGCCGCCCTTCGGTCGTTGCAAGGTCGGCAGCAAGCGCATCAGGACCTTCAAGTTGCTCGCCGACCGTCGACATCCGCCCCCACATGGCGCCCCGCGCTCTCCTCAACGAGCAGCCCTCGGCGTCCTCCTCATCCTTCTGAGTGGATTCCGCTCTCTTGCTGTCTGTCTAGCTGCCTGTCTGTCTGTCTGTCTGTCTGTCGCCTCTTCGTGTGTGTGTGTGTGTGTGTGCGTGTGTGAGTGGCTGTTTGCGTGCGTGGGGGGCAGGGGAGAGGGGGGCATGGGGGCATGGAGTGCAGAGAGAGAGGGTGCAGGTGACATGGGACACGACGATTTTTCCTGTGTAGTGTGGGACACAGGACAAGGGGAGGGAGGAAGAAGATCGACAGAAACGCTGTCTACATTTTATATCGTCGAAGGACAGGGACCATACGCTTTCTCGCGCTCGCCATGTGTGTGTGTGTGAGGGTGCGCATCGCTGGCTGCTTATTTATATACATCGAGGGAATGGACACCTTGACAGGCGCACATCAACAGAGTTTGCTCGTCTGTCTGATGATGTATGCATTGCATGGGGTTGTCGGCACGGGGACGGTCGACTGCATTGGAACTTGAGGCAACAAGACCGTCACACACACACACACGCAGATGCAGTCAGTGAGTCAGTGTGTTGATTTGAGCACGTATCGACAACCAGACAACCGCGGGCAGACAGCCACTCCTCACCCACTCAGACAGACAGACAGACAGACTGGTAGGCAGGCAGGCAGACACGCCATTGCACACGTACACACAACTAGGGAGGGAGGGAGGGAGGGAGGTGGGGGAGAGGCAAAACTCTCTCGTCAATATGTCTGCCTGCCTGCCTGCCAGGACACATCGATATCCATCCATCCGTCTATTCATGCCCAGCCGCCGGTCACACACATGAAAGACAGCAGGTGCTTGCTAGCTGGTTGACCGGAGGGAGGGAGGGAGGGAGAGCGAGCGAGAGAGAGGAAGGCACTAGACGAGAGGAGGGAGACCTACCTGTAAAACGGGAGCTAGCCTCACCTTCTGACTGAGTCTGTTGGTTGCCCTTCCACCAAACCCAGCGAGTCACTCAGAAGGCACAAATAGCTTGTTTGTTTGTGACGTGAAGCAACCAATCCATGCAATCAATGCACACCAACATGACCAGCCCCACTCACTCACTCCACAGCCAACGCCTTCCTGCCTTCCTTGGCGTCTCTCTCTGTCTTGGCACTCGGCTGACTAAAACGCACGCACAACTACCGCACCGCACCGCACCTCGATCGTCTTCACTCCGTGTGCATTGATTGCATGGGCCGTGTGCGTCGAGTGCTGCCCTTGCCCACACGACACGTGGCTGAACGCACTCACTCTGGGCTCAGGCACGGATGAGCTGCGGCAGCAATCGCACACGCGGCACGCACAACTACCCCATGAACCGATTCATTCGTTCATTCCCCCTCATATATGCGGCAGTGTGCTATCTATCCATCGCGTCAGCCAGCTCCTGCAGGAGGGTGCCTGGGCGGCTTGTCGGGCAGGTAGCTGATGTCGATGTTGCGGTCCACGTACACCAACATGGACGCGTTGTAGGCCTCCAACACCTAGGCATACAGAGGGGGAGGGGGGACCACAGACATGGCCATGGATGCGCTCACTCATCCATGCAGCCACCCAGCCACCCACCCTGTATTTGTCGACAGACTTGACCACACTGTCGTCGAACAGATACCTGCACACACCACGCACCGCGCAGACACAGACAGACAGATATGAGGGCATCCGGATATATTCATTCATTCATTCGTCTTGTTGTGTGTGTGGTGTGCGTGTGGTTGTGCATGGAAACAAGCATCCGTCCATACCATTCCTTGTCGTTTCTGACGTATGCGTTGTAGTGTCCGTGGCTGAGGGTGGTGCCGTGGTGCTTTATCACTGCCGTCAGCTCGTACTCCGGACGATACACACCCTCGCCAACCCTGCACACCACACGGTGGACCCACATCCACATCCACATCCACAGTCACAGTCACAGTCACAGACAGACGATGGATGGGATGGATGGATAGACACCCGCCTGCCTGTCTGTCTGTCTGTCTCAATGCATCCCCCCATTGTTGTGTTGTGTGTGTGTACCAGTCTTCCTCGATGACGAGCTTCTCCGGGAAATCGACCTCCGTTGACGACTGCACTCATACACACACACACAAGGAGGGAGGGCAGGGCGTGACGGTTGGACCGGTGTTTCCTTCCTTCGGTTTGTTGGCTGGGCTGACCTTGGACGATTGGTTGGTGGCCTTGTCATACTCGTAACGCAGAAACGTCACCAGCAACACCTGCACGTCACGTGACGCACCGCACCCAGCCATGCCATCCACAACACATACAACCAACACAACGTGTGTTATGTGTGTCCGTGCATTGCCTCCGTGTGCTGTTGTTGTGGTTCACAGTGGTGTGTGTACTGACGGGTGGTAGGTATGCGAAGGTGGTGTGTCGTGTGAATCCGCCCGCCTTGGCGGGCGACTCGGGTGGCGGCTCCTCCGCACTGCTCGACGCTGTGGGCTTGCTGTCCACCTCCTCGCGGAGACACTCACGGGCGATGCCCTCACTACAGACACACAGACAGATTTACACGGGGAGTGGACGGACAAATGGACACGACACGCGCAGTGCGGTCAGTCAGTCAGTCAGTGAGTCAATGAGATGAGGCTGTGTGTGCTGTCTGTGTGTACATGAGGTTGAATCGTTTGCCGTCTTTGGGTGTGTCGATGTGGATGTGCAGCTTCCACATGAACTCGATATGCACACTCCCGTGGTCATCGTCATCTGCAGCCAAACCAGGCCACACACAGAGGGGGGGGCATTTATCCATCCGTCGTTCATTCGAGGGTAGCTGAGTGAGTGAGGGCGTGTGTGTGTACCTTCCTTGACGGCCTGCTTCGTCACGTCTGCCCTCTGAACAATGCCGAACAGACTGACCAAAGAGGCACAGCACCCAAGAGTGTTTCATGCCATGCGCCATGTGTTTGCTGTGTAGACACACACCACACCACAAGTGCCCCCCTCCCACCGCTTGATAGGCGAATCCTCATTCTCAATGTCCCTGACGTATGCACACACACACACACACACAGACAAGATCACACGCGTGTGTGTGAAGGTCGATCCTCCCCCGCGAGTGCGTGTGTGTGCGGCCATGGAGGCAGTTAGCTTACTGGACGACGAGTCCCTTCTTGTCAGGGGCCGTCGGCTGCGTGTGGGGGACGGCGGCAGGGCTGTCACCCAAAGTCTCCCTCTGATAGACATTTAGAGAGAGCATCCATTCAATGCATTGGACGCACACAAGAACCGATTTGGTGTCGGATTGGATATCCCGCGGGCGGTCGGTGGCTCAACTCAACACCACACGGGTGCGTGCTGTGGTGTGCTGTGTTTGCCTTGCCTTTTTCCATCTGCACTCCTCGTGCAGCGAGTTGAGCAGGAAGATCGTGAACTCGTGCACATCCTGCTGGCTGTCTGCACACACATCACATCACATCACATGCACACACACAGAGGAGAAAGAGGTAGAAACAGTACAGGAATGTCTGTCAGACTTGTAGCTGGCTGCACTGACTGACTGACTGATTGCATCTGATCTGCCGTCCCTCCATCCCTCCCTCCCCCGGTCCGGTAGGTAGGTGGGTACCGTACCCATTTCATTAGAGTGCTTCTGTGCGTATTCCTTCCATGCCAGTAGGACAGGCCCGAGATATGCCGTGGCTGAGATAGTGCCCCTCCCCTGGCCCTTGCCGCCCTTGCCACCCTTCCCCACAGGTTGGAAACCATCCGCTGTGGCTGGGTCGGCTGACACACACACACACACACACACAGAGAGAGAGAAAGAGAGAATAAATACACACATTGATCCATCTGTGGCTGCGTGTCGTGTCGTGTCGTGTGGTGTGGTGTGGTGTGGTGTGCCTTACAGCGGCTTTGCTGACTGACCTGTGCCCTGTTGTTCCTCCCAAGCCTTGTCTATTTCTTCCTTGAGTGCGGGGTGCTCAGCGAGCACATCCCGTGGGTGGTAGAACTGCCGGAACAGACCCGCCAGGCACCGATAAAAGGTGCGACGACCGGGGCCAACCTCCTGCACACACACACACACACATGATGGAAGGACACAGTCGAGGACAGGCACCTGCCTGGCTGCCCATGACAGGACTGACATACACAACTCACGTACCTCGTTAGAGAGTGAGAGGAGCATGGCCAGTGGCGAGATGGGCAGAAGCGACTGCACCACCTGGGGGCACACATCACATGCACAGACAGATAGACAGACCAGCGAGACCCAACCAAACCAGAAGGTGCCGTCGTATGGTTGTGCTGTGGTGCATTTGGTGTGGTGTGGTGTGCAGGTGACTGACTGACCGAGTTGACGTAGCAGAAGTTCTTGCTGTTCTTGAGGCCACGGCGGGTGTAGCGCGGCATCGACGTACACTGCCAACATCCCATCCACCCAGCCATCACTCAGATATGCATGCATCACATCGGAATGGATGGACCCGACCCACTCGCTGTGTGGCTGTCTGTCTGGCTGTCTGTCTGTCTGGCTTTCCTTGCAAACTTACGCTGGTGAAGGAGAAGAGTCGTTTGAAGCTCTCCGACCCCTCCGGGCACTGTGTCTCCATGTGCTTCTCAGCCTGCATCCAACATCACACCCACACCAAGGCCCATACACTCACATGTGTGTGTGTTCCTGGTTGCGGCATCCAGCCAGCCAGCCAGCCAGCCAGCCATACCTCGAGGAGCCTGGCGCGCTCAATGAGCGGCCGTCTCCTGAGCTCGGCCAGCAGGTGCTGACGCCGGGGATGCGTGGCGATGTCCCGCACCAGCAGGAAGTCCAGCACGCTCAGGCCGAGGCTGGATATGGTCACCCTCAGGTGGCACATGACGTAGGCCTTGAAGTAGTCCTCCGAGAGGCTGGCGGTGAGGGCGCTCAGGGTGTCCTGGCTGGGCACCTCCGAGGGGCCGCCACGCACCTTGTCGGCGAATGACATGCCTGGTTTACCGCCCCACGCAGGCCCGCCGCCGCTCCGCAGCGAGCTGCTCGGCGACGCACCACCGCCACCACCTCCCGCACTCAAGGCGGGCGAGGGCGCGGCAGCGGCACCACCACCACCACCACCCCCACCCCCACCCGCCGCATCCGCAGCTGTCCATGCTGTGTACTGTTGCTCGGGCTCCTCGTCTTGGTCGGTGTCGACTTGGTCTGGCGCTGGTGGTTCTTGTTGCGCGTTGAAGGTGTGGTCAGCATCATCGGCCGGCGGGGGGAGGGGTTGGGGGGGTGTTGGCTGGTCTGATGGAGGGGGGAATGGGGGTGCGTCCTGGGCCTCGCCATCCTCCTCTTGGGGCTCTGCAGCAGATGCGTCCACGACCGTCCGCTGCTCCTCGTCACCTCCTGCTGCTGCTGCCGCTCCTGCCGTGGAATCATCCTCCGCCAGGGGTAGCTCCTCTTGGCCACTCGCCTCTGCGGCTTGGCCGTCTGGTGCCACCTCATGGCCCACCATGCTGCCCTCCATGATGGACAAGGGTGGGGGTGCACGTGTCTGGCCAGGTGGCATCATGAATGGCGGCGATGGGAGTGTGTCAGGTGGCTGGCTGCTGAGGTTGGCAGCTCGGTGTCTGCTGCTACCCCCGCTGGATGACGAGCCTGACTGGTCCAGGTCCACGTATATGCCCCCGTTGGTGTGAATGATACCCCCATGGCCACGGTCCTGCTCGTAGTGGGGCTGCCGGCTGGGCGTCGAGGGGTGGTCACCATCGCCACCGCCATCTACTGCACCACTCTCGCCCTCCTGACAGACAGACAGACAGACAGACATCAAGGACGACAGACAGACATGGATGGACACAGACAGACATGACCATGAATGCGCTCACTGCACTGATGGTGTCAAGCTTGTCTATGCGGCCGGCAAGCCGGCCGTGCGTCCCCCTCTCACCTACCTCGGCCTCATCCATGCCTTCGTGCGGCGGCACTTGCAGGCTGACCGGCACCGGACTCACATGTGCAGCTCCCCCCTCCCCATCGGCCGGATTGGGAGGGGGTGGGTGTGGAAGTGGTGGGCCCTGACTCACACTTACGTGGGGGGGAGACATATGGACGTATGGCGCATGCGGCTGCTGATGCATGGCGCCCATGACCACATTCTGCAGACCATACGGCGGTACGTCTGCACCAACACCAGCGCCGCCACCAAAGCCGTTGGTCGGATACTGCACGCCACCATCACCATCACCACCACCAGGAGCAGGTGCAGCAGCAGGTGGTTGGACCTGCAGAGGCACCGGCATTGGGCTGGTGACCTGGCCATGTAACTGCTGGACGGGTCCCCCTGCCCCGCCGTCGAAGGGCATGCCCATGGTGCTGAGAGGTGGAGGTGGGGGGTAGGTAGTGGGGTATGAGACAGGGTGGTGGGTCCCACCCACTGGCACGGCCCCTGGGTGGGGAAGGGGGTGGTGAGGGTGTTGAGGGGCAAGGTGGGGATGGGGGAGGGGGGG